TCTACTATTCTATTCTATTACTTCTACATTCTATTCCTATTCTATTCTATTCTATTCTATTCTATTCTATTCTATTCTATTCTATTCTACTCTACAACCTTCTGAAGCACAAAGTCAGTGGGGAAGCCAGGTTCACTTAACAACCAGGTTACTAACTAAATGAACTGCAGTGATTCATTTAACAACTGTGGCAAGAAAGGTGGTAAAATGGGCCAAAACTCACTTCACAAATTTCTCACTTAGCAACAGAAATTTTGGGCTCAGTTACAGTCGTAAAATGAGGGCTACCTGTATAGATGACAGTGAACTGTTCATCATGGACTAGCCAGTTCTTTCACCATAAACCTGTTCTGGAGTTTGACCCCAAGCACTTTAATCTCACAAATTTAAAACCATATTCCCTATATAGGTAGTTCTCAACATGCAACCACGATGGGGGCCAAAATTTTCAGTTGCTAAGCAAGACAGTTGTTCAGAATGTTATGACTGTTTTTTACTACAGTTGTTAAACGAATCACTGCCATCGTTAAGCGAATCTGGCTTCCCCCCCATTGATTTTGCTTGCCAAAAGCCAACTGGGAAGGTCACAAATGGTGACCACATAACCTGAGACAGTGCAGCCGGCATAAATACATATATGACCGTGAGGATACTGCAACTGTCGTAAGTTTGAAAAACGGCCGTAAGTCACTTAGTACTGTTGCAATGTTGAATAGGCACTGAATGAACTGTTGTAAATCAAGGACAACCTCTAAGCTTGCTATTTTATTTATTTACTAGCTCGATACCCGTGCTTCGCTACAAAACTATGTCATCTGGCTTAGTTTTTGGAGAGGAAAATAAGGGGGAAAATTCTGCCTCTGTGTACCAGCATCCATCAGCCAATCAGTATTTATCTGGCTAGCTTCTTGTCAGTGTGTGAAAGAGTTGAGGGCTGTTTGGAAATTGAAACAGTATTTGCTGTGTGAACAAGGAGGAGACAGCAAGGAGCCTGGGTGTGGCTTAGCTCAACTGTTCTGTACTAAAGCTGATTGCTGATCTGAAACTGAAACTCCTGTCCTCTGCTTGTGTTTTACATTTGGAACAGATTTCTTTTCAAGTGGGGAGGGGGAGTAGAACTCCTTAGCATCAGAGCGTGTTAATAATATATGAAATACTAATGCTCTGATGGTCATTTTTAAATATCCTGGGATCACCTAGAAGCCAAGAGGAACATACGTGCCAAATTTCAAGTTTGTAGGCTGTAAGTTCTGGAGATTTTGTGATGGTGCGTGAGTGGTCTTTCGCTTTTATATATAGAGAGATTTATTATTTTTAATTCTTCCTTTTTCCTGTCTTCCCCATCTAGCCTTTTCTTAGCTAGCTTGGGGGAATCAGATGTTTCTCACTTTAACATTACAATGTGGTTTTTTTTTTTAATTCTTCATTGGGCAAAGATCAGGATTATGTGGAACTTGTATTCCAACCGCTAAAAGAGGACTTTGGCCCCAAATCAGCTATTCTCCATTAGGCTAAATCATGTCTGACTCTTCCTCTTTCCGGCCGTTGAATGAATGAGGTTTAAATACTTGGGACATCCACAGAATTAGCCAAAAGTCTTCTGAAACTGGCACACTGGATCACGTTCCATAGTCTTGTCTTCTGCTCGTTGCCACTTTTATTCTTCCAGATATAGGACATTTCTCCATCAACGATCTATTTATAATTAGGGTAATCATTTACACTATTAGTCTTTTGCCCTACCCTAGAACATTGAGTTCCACTGGTGAAAGTCCTTTGCAGCATATTCTTTTATGAACGATGACCCTGGAGCTGTGCCTGGTATATGTCCCATAAAGAATAGGACAACCTCAGGCAGGGTGGGTAAAAATCTATGGGTTGTTGTTTTTTTTAATCGGATTTTTAAATTTTAAATTGGATCTTCTTTTTATTTTTATCAAATTTATTTTAATAAAATGCTTTTGGAGTAAAAAATCTATCTAAAGATAGTTTTCTATTTAAGATACATTAATAATTTAGTTTAGTCAGCCTGAAATTGAGCTTAGTTACGTAGCAGGAGCTCATTCAATGAATCCAAGATCTGCAAGCTAAATAGGAAACCTTTATTTTGTTTGCAGATAATAATATTAAAGATTCTAACTTACCAGCAAGAATGAGTCCTTAAAGAGCACCATTTAAAAAGCACCTGTTATTTTAGATCCATCAGGGCAGCGCCTGTTAGTGGGTATCCACACACCTGCTGCCCACCATATCCCTCACCTTGTTGGATCACTGCCGCATTAAAGTGTCCCATTAAAGTGAATGGGTCTGTCAGGGAGTCAACAGTTGGTCAGATAAAGAGCTGCTGTGGGACAGAGATGACAGTGGCTCTTTAAAAAATATGATTTAAATCGAGTTGATTTAAATTAAGCCTTTTTGCTAGTGATTTAAATCATGATTTAAATAGACTTGATTTAAATAAAATCCATCTTGACCTCAGGATTCCATTGTTTAGCGTCTTTCTTTCTGGATGTGGATGCACGGCCCCAAACAGAGCCTGGTGCAGAATCTGGAGGTTCTCCTATATTCATGACTCCTGCAGGTGTCATAGTCACCGTGGTGGCTAGGAGGGCTTTTACTCAATTTTGTGTTGTGCACCAGTTGCGCCCTTATACCTGGATGGGGAGACCCCAGCGCACACAGTTCCTCATGCCCTGGTCATCTCTCAGTTAGATTATCGCAGCGTGCTCTACATGGGGCTGCCCTTGAAGAGCATTTGGGTAACATCCCCAACAAAAATATTTCTGGTTTTAAGTCAGTAGGCTGCATTGTCATCTTTTCCAACTACATTTGTATTTTTGTCTAGTATTTTTTTGCCTCTACACATGTCTACCACATATGATAATATGACCCAGGTATCTGGTGGCATTTCCAACATTTAACTGATTTGTCTTTAAACGTCTTTGCCAGCCTCTCCGGTGCTAGGTGCCATCTATAAAACATTTTATATAAGTTTCCTTTGTGTGCAGTTGACATTGTCAATTTATAGGTCCTATCCCACAACTTCTGCTATTCATCCAGTTCTGTTGTGTAGCCGAAGTTTTTTGCCCACGCTATCATTCTATCCTGAGATGGGTAAAATGAGGACCCAGATTGTTGGGGGCAATAGACTGACTCTGTGAACCGCTTACAGAGGGCTGTAAAGTGGTATTAAGTGCTATTGCTATGTACAGTGCCTCAATTTTGATCACATTATTAAAATATTGCTGCAGTCGTCGTTAAGTGCAAGGCCAGTCAGAAGTCACTTTTTCCGGTGCTATTATAACTTGGAATGGTCGCTGAATGAACAGTTGCAGATCAAGGACTATCTGCGCTCCTTTTTCCAGATCTGCGATTGTAACGGCAGTTTTTCTTCCTTTCCCTCAGACTGTGGCATCGCCGAAGGATAGTGGTGTCCCTGTTGCTGCTGCTTGCCATTCTTACATCTACGTATTATATCGAAGGAGCCCATCAACGGGTAAATACATGCACAACGTTAATCCGGTGTTTTCCTGAATTCTCAGAGGGTTTACGTACATTCTCTCCCTACTTTTTTTATTTTTATCCAAGCTGTAAGTATAGCACATTGGTACCAAACCAGATGAGAGCTTTAAAGATTCTTTTGAACCTTTTTTTGTCAACCCTGAAGCTGGCTAGACAGTGGCCATCTTTCTGTCCTACTGGTTTTTTTCCCCCTTTCTTCAGAGCTTCAGTGCTGACACAGACTGGAGATGAGGGATAGAGAGTGGGGTGTGTGTGTAGAAATATCTGGGGCGCTACAGCCAAAGCAATATTCTTTCCCTTGGGAACCAAGGTCGAGTGTGTAGATGATTTGGGAGGTGGAGACTGGCACCATCCCATGTCTGGACTGTGTGCTGATTGGACCGTGTGATTGAAGCCTCTGGGGAAGTGATAAACTTTTGCTTTTAATGAGCTGTGGTGGCGCAGTGGTTAAAATGAAGTATTGCAGGCTACTTCTGCTGCCTGCCGGCTGCCTGCAATTTGGCAGTTTGAATCTCACCAGGCTCAAGATTGACTCAGCCTTCCATCCTTCCAAGGTCCCAAAGTAAAATGAAGACCCAAATTGTTGGGGGCCATATGCTGACTCTGTAAACTGCTTAGAGAGGGCTGTAAAGCATTATGAAGCACTACATAAAACTGAATGAAAAACTGCTGGTGACCTTCTACTGCTGCACCATAGAGAGTATCTTAACTTACTGCACCTGTGTATGGTTTGCCAATTGCACAGTGGCAGATAGGACAGCACTCCAGAGGGTTAACATCATTGCCCAGAAGATCATTGGTTGCCCTCTTCCCCTCTTTGGAAGAGCTTTATAGCTCCTGCTGCCTTAAGAAAGTTCAAAACATTCTCAAAGACCCATCTCATCCTGGGCATCCTTTTTTTGAACTATTACCATCTGTCAGAGGGTACAGGATAATAAAAACAAGGACAAATAGGCTGAAAAACAGCTTCTATCCCAGGGCAGTAGCTCTGTTGAATTCTACTATATGGTGCAATATTAATGCAATATCAGGGATTTTCAATTCAATGTGTGGAGTGTGAAGGGTGTGTCTTTGTGTTTTATCTTTATAGTTATAATGTACACAGAAAATGGCATTTAATTTTGTCGTACGAAGTGCAATGACAATAGAGTAAACTAAACTAAGCTAAACTAAAAATAAGTTAAGCGCTATTGCTAGGGGGGGGGGGGGGGGGGGGGGGGAACCAGAAGGAATTGTGCCAATTTGACATACCCTAATAGAGGAGGCCTTGTGCCTCGGAGCTGTTTCATTTGGGGTTGTGTTACTTGAGAGCCTGACACTTTTATCCTCGCAATAACCCTATAGGTCAGGGGTCCCCAACCCCCGGGCTGCGGCCCACCACCGGATCTTGAGCCATTCAGAACTGGGCTGCCGAAGTGGCAGGTGAGCACACGTGTAAGCAGCAAGAGGCACATACATGCATGCTCCATTTGTATGAGCAGCAGGCCCGTGTGCCCACTGCTTGTGCAAAACAATCCCCTCTCCATTCCCCCCCCCGTCCGTCCGTAAAGCCAAAAAGGTTGGGGAACCCTACTATAGATGGAATTGCTGTACAAGGAGATTCTTATATCCCTGGATTTATCAGATATTAGTCCAGCATTTTAACCATTGTCCCATATTACCTCTCATATCTTAATCAACTACTAGGCTTCATATGCTTAGTAGGTTGCTGCTAACAAGTAGTGTACACTTTGGGGTCTTTGGTTACTCTCTGAACTCAGTTGTTTTCTTCTGGGTGTTTCATTACCCAACTAGATAACATCTTAAGTGCTAGAAGGGAGTGAGGATTGCTCCATATTTGTTTGTACTGGTGAGAGTGTTCTTGGTGGTAACACTGCGATTAATACTAGATCAACAACCAGGCTGTAAACAACACCGAATCAAGGAACTACGAACTCAGACAAATAATCAGTGAGTAAACAACAGCTTAATCAAGGAACCACCAAAACACTCCCACAAACACTGAAAGGGCAAGCCACTAATATATAAAAAGAGAGGAAACTCCCTTCTAAGCACTGATGACGCTACATAGTTGGGTGATGAAACATCTGCGAGAAAACAACCAAGCTCAGAGAGCACCAAGGACCCCATAGTCCTTCCTGCTCGTCCTCCTCCTCTCTGCCATCCCCACACCCTTCTGGCACTGATGATGTTACCTAGCTGGGTAATGAAAGGTCTACAAAAAAAAAACCAACGAAGTTCAGACAGCACCAAGGACCCTATAGTTCAGCCGTGACTACGAACATTCTCTTGTATTGCTACCGTACACTTTTTTTAAAAAAAGAAGCAAAAGCTATAACTATTTATCAGCTTTTCCCGAAGTCCAGAAAACAACCTAGCATCTGTCCCACTTACTCTGGAGATTCTTGAATTAGAATGAGGCCGCTGTTCGTTTTCTTAAGCTTCTAATTCGGGATGAGGGAGGATAAGGTTTCTCTTATCTGCCTCTAAGCCGGCGAAGAAGTAGGTTGTTTTGAAAGGAGGGTAGGTACGAGAAAGAGACATCTAATCCGAGCTTGAATTAAAACAATTCGCCTCCCTGCCCCACCTTTGGAAGCTACAGAGGCTGACATAAGCTGAGGCTAACCGAGCTTCATGGATCTCTGCCAATAGCAGCAGCAATAGCACTTAGATTTATATACCACTTCAAAGTACTTTACCGCCCTCTCTAAGCGGTTTACAGAGTCAGCATCTTGCCCCCAACAATCTGAGTTCTCATCTTACCATCCTCGGAAGGATGGAAGGCTGAGTCAACCTTGAGCTGGTCAGGATCGAACTTCTGGCAGTGGGCAGAGTCAGCCTGCAATACTGCATTCTAATCACTAGGACGTGTTTTCTTTAGGCCAGGGGCCTCCAACCTTAACAACTTTACGACTTGTGGACTTCAACTCCCAGAATTCCTCAGCCGAATCATAGCTGAGGAGTTCTGGGAGTTGAAGTCCACAAGTCGTAAAGTTGCTAAGGTTGGAGACCCCTGCTTTAGACCGTTGATGAATGTATTTTTATTTTTATTTTGCTTCTTCCTCAGTATGTGGAGTATATGGAAAAAAGGCTTTTATGGTGCGCCTATTGGGCCGGGTTAGGCATCTTGTCCTCGGTGGGGCTTGGAACTGGTCTTCACACCTTTCTGCTCTACTTGGTAAGTTTAACATTTTCAAAGGTTGAGATTTTTCGCTAAAAAAATTTGGGGGAAATTGGGGAAAATAAGCACATTTGCATGATCTATCTCACTGTGGCAGGCAAGAGGAAAATAGATTTGGATGAGAGGAGTTTAAATTAAATAGATAATTGAGTTTAAACTTAATCAAAATAGTACTGAAGCAATTACAGAAATTAAGCATCTAATTGTCCTGGTTTAGAATAAAGTTAGAGGGCAGAATATAGAGGTAGTCCTCGATTTACAACAGTTTATATAGTGACTGTTCAAAATCACAACAGCGCTGAAAAAGTGACTTACGACTGTTTTTTCACACAGCCATTGCAGTATCCCTATGCTCCTGTGATCAGAATTGAAATGCTTGGCAACTGCCATGTACTTAGGACGGTTGCAATCTCCCAGGGTCACATAATCACCTTTTGCAACCTTCTGACAAGCAAAGTCATCGAGGAAGCCAAATTTACTTCATAACCGTGTTACTAACTTAACAACTGCAACGATTCACTTCACTGTGGCAAGAAAGGTCATAAAATGGAGCAAAGCTCATTTAACAAATGTTTTACTTAGCAACAGAAATTTTGGGCTCAAATGTAAGTCAAGGACTACCTGTACAACGTATTACTTAAGAAGGAGATATGGCCAGGTATCCTCTGACTGGGTTTTCCTTAATCTCGGCTTGTTGAATCCGCTGTAGTCAGATGGGTTCATACGTTAAGCTAAACTACGAACAGTGGCTTACAAAACACAGTGGTTGGCTTCCCACAACATTATGAGCCAAATTAGAGCTTAGCATGATGCTTGGATTCCTGGCAGCTTTTTTCCTTTCAGGATACCTGGAGAACTGGACTCGTATCTACCCACAAATATCCTTAGGACAACGTTTCTCAACTGAGCCACTTTAAGATGTGTGGACTTCAACTCCCAGAATTCCCCGGCCATGCTATGCTGACTAGGGAATTCTGGGAGTTGAAGTCCACATGTCTTAAAATAGCTAAGGTTGAAAAACACTAGTTTGGGATGCTGCTCATTCTGAAACATGAACTTTCAAGGGGTCATGAAGACCATTCACACAGTGGCACTTGGTGATATTACCTAGTTTGGTAATGAAACATCAGCAGTAGCACTGATGATGTTACCTAGTTGGGTAATGAAACGTCCTGCAAGAAAACCACCAAGCTCAGAGTGCATCAAAGATCCCACAGTTCAACCCTGAGCTACAAATACCCTCTTCTATTGTCTATGGAGATTCTCAGTCCTCCAGGTCGTGGTTGTCCCAAAGGTCTTTTTCAAGAGGCAACTGGACTTTCTTGGTTTTTCTTCAAAGACGTTTCGCTTCTCATCCAAGAAGCTTCTTCAGCTCTGACTGGATGGTGGGGAATGGAAGGGAATAAATAAATAAAAAGGAGTATAAATCTTCCATTCCCCACCGTCCAGTCAGTGCTGAAGAAGCTTCTTGGATGAGAAGCGAAACGTCTTCAAAGAAAAACCAGAAAGTCCAGTTGCTTCTTGTAAAAAAAGCACCTTTGGGACAACTCTCTTCTATGGAAAAGTATATATAAAATGCCTTATCACAGTTTCTTCATCCAATCATGGGCTGGAAGACTAAAGAATGTTTTTAGTTTATACAGTTTATACCGTTTTTATGACTGTGAGCTGCTCAGAGTTATCTTGAGGTAAGATGGGATGGCCTATACATTTTATAAACAAACCAACAAATCAACACATCAGCCCTCCAGCCAACCAACTAACCAAGAAGCCAAACAAGACAAAGTTGGTTAGAACTTCCCCAGTTGTGGCTCTAAACAATCCAAATTCCCAGGTTGAATCTGTGCCTGAAAACCCCCGTCTTCCAGTCATTCTGTTTCCATCTTCCTGTTCTGTCGCTTTGCGCCTGGTTAACCCGTGCTTGGGAGTTCTAGGTTAAAATTCTTTACAGTGGCTGTGTTCTCGCCAGTGCGCCTTGCCAAAAGCCTGCAAATGATTTTACGGTTTGGTGCAGGGTGGGAGCCAAACCACAAGAGTCGGCATCTTCCTTTTTTCACTTTCGTTATCTGGAAAACTATTTTTTTGCTTCTTTGGAATCGAATGTCGTGGTTGGTTTTGGATCGTGGCCATTTGCTGTCAGAAGGGTAACAGTTCAAAATAGAGGAAACCTCATCGGTAGCACCTCATGCTTCACTTGTGCAAAATGGGCTGAAAGAGAAAAACAAGTATTATTTTTTTCCTCAAACAAAATCAGCTGGCTCTTTCAGTGAAATGTGTTCCTTGCTGTTGATACCTCTGAAAGGTTTAATTTCCTCCTTTTTTTTGCTTTATTTTTTTACTAGCTTGTTACCCGTGCTTCGCTACAAGACTATGTGGTGAGGCTTAGTTTTGGGGGTGGAAAATAAGGGGGCAAAATTCTGCCTCTGCCTACCAGCATCCATCGGTATTCATCTGGCTAGCGTCCTGTCAGTGTGTGAGAGAGTTGAGGGCTGTTTGGAAAGTGAAACAGTATTTGCTGTGTGAGCAAGAATGAGACAGCAAGGAGCCTGGCCATGGCTTAGCTCAACTGTTCTGTACTAAAAGCTGCTTGGTGCTGTGAAACGAAAACTCTCCTCTGCTTGTGTTTTGCTTTTGGAAGAGATTTCTTTTCAGGTGGGGAGGGAGAGTAGAACTCCTTAGCATCAGAGCGTGTTAATAATAGTAATATAGAAAATACTTATGCTCTGATGGTCATTTCGAAAAATCCTTTCTTAGTGAGCCCCTAGAAGCCAAGAGGAATATACGTGCCAAATTTCAAGTTTGTAGGCTTTACGATTCTGGAGATTTTGTGATGATGTGTGAGTGGTATTTCACTTTTATATATATATAGATTTTTTTATCTCATTTTTCTTCTTACTTGCCGGCCTTGTGGCCATCATGAAAGTTGGGTTTCATTAAAACTGCCTTCATATCTTTAATTCTTCATGGAAGGATATTGGCTATATAGGTAGACCTCAAGTTACAACAGTTCATTTATTGACTGTTCAAAGTTAAACGGTGCTGAAAAAAGCAACTTTTAACTGTTTTTCACACTTAACGACTGGAAACCAGATTCGCTTAACAGCCGTGTTGCTAACTTAAACAACTGCACTGATTCACTTAACAACTGTCTTGCTTAGCAACAGACATTTTGGACCAAATACGCCCTGATTAAAAACACTTGATCCATGACTTTCTAATGTAGATACATACTAATTCTTGGCTTATGACCACAGTGGATGCAACAGGAGTTGGAAATTTTACCGTTTCTTCAACGTGAGTTTCAAACGTGCACCTTTCTTAGCAAAACTTTTTCCTTCGTTTTGTTTTTAACAGACACTAGAGGGTGCGGTTGTCTCGTTCAGGAAAGAGCGGTTTCTCTTTTGACTCAGCATACAGAACTAACTGCCTCTGAATTTAATTGTGCCAGTGTTTGTTTAGCATTGGAAAGCTTGGGCCTCCTCCTGTCACCGCAGTTGTTATGTTAGGAACACGGTTGTTAAAGTGAATCCAGCTTCCCTGTTGACTTGTCAGGAGATCACCAAAAGGGATCCCATGACCCCCGGGACACTACAACCGTCATAAAGACGAGTCAGTTGCCAAGCGTCCGAAATTTTGATCACGTGACCATGGGGATACTGCAACGGTCGTAAGTGTGAAAAACAGTCATAAGTGACTTTTTTCTGTGCTGTTGTAACTTGAAATGGTCACTAAAGGAATGTAAGTCAAGGACTATCTGTAGTTTATTAGTAACTTCAGGTATCAAACATACAGTACTGTCCCCTTCTATTTTCCCTACAGCAACAACCCTGTGAGGTGGGTTCGACTCGGAGAGACTGATTGGCCCAAACTCACCCAGCTG